AGCATCCCTGCCGGGGAACGAACCCGGTACCTTTGGATTAAAAATCCAACGTGCTATCCACTGCGCTATAGGGACACTTAGTTTTTAATACTACCCCTTTTAACAAGATGTCTGGAAACCAATTATTAACCCATGTGAAAATAAATACATAATTATTTGATGAAGATTAAACTTAAAACTGTGCACAAATACATTTGAATCTACATAATATTATATGAAACTATTTATTTTATTTACGGTAGGGATATGTTTAATACTGATAACTCTGTGATATTATATTTCAATTAAACTGCAAAATTCTGTAGATAATAACTTTTATTAATCATGATAAATATTATCATACTTTAGAACAGAGAATTTGTAAGAAACTCCTAATGATTTCGGCATGCTCAGAATCTTAAGTTAATAGATTGCTGTGATTTCATGTTGTATTGTTATTTCTATATTTCCACATGTGGCTGTTATAGTTGTAGCTAAGAAATAAACAGTTGATTTGATTAGTGACTTGTAACTCCAAAAATATGTATTGATTTGTTTAATGTTTTGTTTTTACAAATTATTGATAAGTCATCTAATTAAACTGAATTTACCAGTCAGATTGTTAACCCAATTAATTTGTGTGCTGTGTTCTGCCCATCTCCAGTTGCTACAGTAACACCTGAATGCTAAAAAAAAAAAGGTAATAAAAGTGGAAAGCAGCTGAAATCATGTAACTGCTATGAATTGCATGATTTCCCAGATCCAGTCAGCAATACAGTGAAAGTATTGTTTCACGATTGATTTGATGAAAGCTTTATTTCTCTTTGAAATTGAACTTGTATTTGTCCTCAGCGAACTTAACGGAACTGGTCATTATCCTCTTATTTGTAAACAAGAATAGAAACATGAATGAATACTGGAAACTAGATGTGTGTGAAGAATTATGCCTTTACTGATTGGCTGTCTAATTCAGATGGCAGCTAACACTTTTTTATTGTGTGGGATACATTCAAGTCCTTTATCATTTTGTAATAAGGTAGAGGACATTGAATTATTATATTATAAAATCTATTCTAACAAAGTTGTGAAATATTTAGGGCTATAATTTTATCCATATCTCAAAATATTTTATAGCCAGAAATATATGTATATATATATATTTCTAATATATTGTTATTAAAACAAATGGACATATAAAATGTGTTTGAATTAGTTTGGTACAACTATTTATAAATTCAGAATGGAATGTTGCCCATGTATGTACAGATTAAATCTGTTTCAAACAGTATACTAGGAAAAATCTAACCAATCAAAATGACCGAATTTTGATGTTACCTGAACATCTTTACAAACTTGACAAGAGAATCTTATTGGTAGAGGTTTCAGACAACTGAACTGTGAAAGTTTATACAGGTTAAGGTTTTGTTAAACAAGACCGATGTCTGTAGGTTTACTTTCTTCTTAGAATTCTTCTCAAGAAGTCGATAAGCCGTCTTAACGTTGTTAGAACAACGGGTAAAAGTTGTAGTTAGTGATGAGTTGGCCGCCTCGTTTCGAATGCATTCTGCATCCATTATCAAGGCTGAATGTTGTGTGAATTGACTACCACAACCCTGTCAAGACGCCTAACAATGCACCTACAAAATGGAGCCATCAAAGAA